TTTCTTTAAGTGAAGCCACATCAGTGTGAGTTCACACCGTCATTGTAATCCACACCATCTTGTGTGCCCCACACCCTTCATACTAGCGCACGTTAAAGCCCGTCTCACTCCCCCTATCAACATTGTGAAGACCAACAGCTCACATTCAAGTGTCGCTTCGAGCGACAAAAACCCTCATCACGAATTCTCTGATCAGTTAGCCCTGTTTCGGAAGACACCCAGACTTGCTGGTTCCAAGAACGACCGCGGGCAGAGCACTTCTTTGTCACCTGCACGCGGTGCAACTCTGGATAGTACGTCTGAGGCTTCAAGGGAAGCACAGCCCATTCTCTCGGAAACCGAGTACCGCGCAGCGCATTGTCAGCGAAAGGGTCGTACGGCCTAGAACACAGATGCGATGTCTACTCCGGACCGCTCACCACGATCGCCACGGGCGATAGATTACCTCGTCGATGGCACAGAGAAAGTCGTCTTCGCGCCGGATACTACTTTCCCATATTGAGAAGAAGATGAGGGAGACGTGCCCCAGCGGCGCGACGTGAGCCCTACTCAAATATTGCGGACGCCGTGTTCCCGAACTCTCGAATTCCGAAGAAAGAGGAATTATTACCTATTGCCTCGACGAGGCACAGGCAGCAGCAGCTGGATGCTGTCCGCGGGAGTCTCTCATGCACGCGCATCCACGTCCCTGGCCCTCGTGTGGAATAGGGCTTCCGCTCAGCGTATCCCGCTACAGAAGTGAAGGACGCGATCACTCAATCGGTGAACGCCTACGTGGTCGGCCCCCGGCCACTACTTAAGCTGAGCTTGACGATCGAAAAGGTTTCTGTGCTCGATTCTTTGTTTATCAAGAAATTCCGGAGGATTCGTGCCGCACTCGACTTCGAGCTCAAAGAGTTGGCGCTCCTGTACCTGCGATGCAGACGATACCTGTGGTGCTCGACCCTAGCAAAATTGCCGCAGACGACGAAGAGATTTTTGAGCGATGGGTGTAGTGTCACCGGAAACATTTCTCGCGGCACAACTTACAGCTAACCCTCTGGAGGTGAACGTACGCGTAGGACGCCGCCTTCTGTTCGAGTTTGCCTAACTCTAGGCGCGCCGCCGACTTCCTTCGGATGGTCACTATGCGAGGATTGGATTAATCCATCACGCCCGTGAGTTCTGTGGTATCTCATACGGGCAAGGCTGTGACCGCTGGAGCTCAGGCGCCATTGTTTGAGCTCAAACGATGGACTTTCGGCTTCCCTAGCTATTGCCGAAAAGCGCGGCGTACGACGACGCGGGACGTCATGATCCCTTGATCACGACATCTGGGCAATCTTGCCGAAGTTGCCCTTCAAACTCCCACGAGTTCTCGAAGTCAAAGCATTCCAGCCACACATGGTTCGACTTTTGCGACGATGTCGACCCACAAGATGTTCCACGTGATAGTGGACGCCACCATTCATATCGAGAAGAGTCGATGGTGGACGCTGGCGACTAGGTCGATCGCCATCTGGTGACCCGCAACTCGAGTTTTGTAGGATAAAGTCCTTCGTCGTCGGCACCCTGCCGAGCATCAAGCCGAGGTCACATACCGCTGTGCGGAAGACCTCGAAAGCTTGGAGAACTTTGTGCATCGACTGCCTCACGTTGAGGACTATCGCGCTCTGTCGGTCCGGTTTCTAGCCTTCGAGCAGTCGAATACGTCACTTCGTGCGACGGCGGGACGCCTCGCGCCGTAGGAAACGTAATAGTTGACTCCAAGCTCAAAATCAGTTGCTGGTTCAGCTTCTAAGTGGCCGAGCGCTTTTGAGAAGCCGCTCTGATGCCACAATTCCGCGTTCACTTGCGCCGGATTCCGGTGCGGCTTAAGCAAGCCCACATTAGATACTGATCGGGTGTAAATATTTCTCACGGGTTTTGCGTATAAACAAGGCCTCGCTTGGCCACGGTCCAATCTACCGTAAACGGAGCTTTGTCTTAAAAATAGCAGAAACTGCATTTGTAGGAAGGTTATGGCATTTTGTAAAACATGGTCTCCGACCTCAAAGTTCTCAATAATTCTTCTGCTTCTCCGTCTGCATGCCTTGGCTATCAGCCATCGCATCGCGAACTTGTCGTAGGACAAGACAGGAATTCATAGACCTCTTTACGGACGGTGATGTGGCTGACACCAGCTAGCCGCTAGGCTACTCCTCTTTCACCAAGTCCTGAGCCATCAAATGGCGGCTTTAGCAGGACGCGAGGATTAACAATTCCATTCCGAATGAACGGCACGTAGGCGGTAGATGAATGCTCTGCATTCTTCAAAGAAAGTTCTACGCGTGGCAGAATGACGCTCCAGCGCTTTGGTGTCTCAACGCAGAAGCTACGAAGAACGTCTCCAACGACGCTATTCACGCGCTCAGTTCGACCATCGATCTGTGGATGGTTCGCTGATGACATAGTCAGCTCGGTGCCCAGTATTCTGAAGACAGTATACCAAAACTTCCCAGTGAAGCGTGGGACAATATCAGAGACGATGGGCTCCGGGAGTCAATGTTGTCGAAAGACACG